GAACCAAGTGTATTATGTAGTTCTTTCTGATACTTATGTATAAAATGTGTAATTAATTGAAAAAACCATATGGAATTTGTTAGGGGAAGAAATAAAAGCTATGAAATCCATATATAGATTATTGGATCACAAATCCATTATTCAAAAAAGAAAAACTCCTCTACTAATACTAGAATTTAAACTATGATTTTACGTAAATTTCAATAATTCAAATCTGAGTGGGAATATGAGATATTTAATAATTCAGGACAAGATTTGATAGGTGTTATATTAGGGTGGCCCTCAAAAATCGAATGTCTTTTTTTTTACGCTACCCCTTAATTTTTTTTTTAATGGTCAAAAAAATAAGCTGTGCAAAATTTGGGACCGATCCGTTAAGGTTAACCCGTGCCCCCAGGCCTATTAAGTTGAGTCGAAGAGTCAAAGTTAATATAAATAACTGATCTATGTCTCGTAACTGTTTTTTCTCTTAACTTAGAATTACAAAAGTAAAACTCAAATAAAGGAAATTTTACAAGAAATTCAAAAATAATAACTTCAATGTTGTTTTCTCAATAAATAGCCCACAAAAACACTACATACAGTAAAAAACATGTAAAAGTCTTAAAATACGTTATAACTGATTTTGTTGATTTTTAATTATTTATTTTCATTTTATTTTTTGGAAAACGCATATTCGTTTAAAAAAAGATTCTAGAAGTTTAATTTTTTATGCCAAGTACGATAATTATATTAGATTTATTATTTTATGGACAGTTAATTAATGATTAATTACAAACCTAACAGTTTAATTTAATTGTTATTAACAATTTTTAATTTATTTTTTTTTAAATAATAATAACTTTAAAAAAAATATTTTAACAATAATTAAATTATATTATTATAATATATTTTTTGATAATGTACTTTTTTTACAATTAGGAAATTTTTTCCGATAATTACTTACTATTTGTAAAACGTATTGTTTCTGTTCTTCATTTGTAGTTTATATTTAATGTAGTCTTAGATTAATTTAATGCCACGCTAGGCTGTATCATTAATGACTCGTAATTTACTTATAGTATTTAAAGCATTTATGTAACTGTTGTTCGCACTCCAAAATGATGGATCAATTTTCAAAAAATCAGTGTTCAGATTAAATAGTTGTAAATTTGATGGTAACTTACTACCAGTTATTTCGTGGGAATAATTACCAATAAGATAAATATTAGTTCGTAATACTTTAAAAGACGCTAAAAGTATTGTACATTTGTGATTAAAACGTATCATTTAATTTATAATAATAAACAGGTAAAATATATTTAACGTGTTCACAAATTGTCTGCTGCATTTATACGACACAAATTATGTCAGTTGTCGAAAATAACTCAAATATACTTATCTTTAATAATAATATAATTGGTACTATCTTAAAGTAATTCAGTAAACCAAAATTGATATATTGATACTACAAAATGTAATAATACAATCAATTTTGTTAAATTTGTAATTAATAATTACACTGTCTATAAANTTTTTGAAAATTGATCCATCATTTTGGAGTGTGAACAACAGTTACATAAATGCTTTAAATACTATAAGTAAATTACGAGTCAATAATAATACAGCCTAGCGTGGCATTAAATTAATCTAAGACTACATTAATATATTAACTACAAATGAAGAACAGAAACAATACGTTTTACAAATAGTAAGTAATTATCGGAAAAATTTCCTAATTGTAAAAAAAGTACATTATCAAAAAATATATTATAATAATATAATTTAATTATTGTTAAAATATTTTTTTTAAAGTTATTATTATTTAAAAAAAAATAAATTAAAAATTGTTAATAACAATTAAATTAAACTGTTAGGTTTGTAATTAATCATTAATTAACTGTCCATAAAATAATAAATCTAATATAATTATCGTACTTGGCATAAAAAATTAAACTTCTAGAACCTTTTTTTAAACGAATATGCGTTTTCCAAAAATTAAAATGAAAATAAATAATTAAAAATCAACAAAATCAGTTATAACGTATTTTAAGACTTTTACATGTTTTTTACTGTATGTAGTGTTTTTGTGGGCTATTTATTGAGAAAACAACATTGAAGTTATTATTTTTGAATTTCTTGTAAAATTTCCTTTATTTGAGTTTTACTTTTGTAATTCTAAGTTAAGAGAAAAAACAGTTACGAGACATAGATCAGTTATTTATATTAACTTTGACTCTTCGACTCAACTTAATAGGCCTGGGGGCACGGGTTAACCTTAACGGATCGGTCCCAAATTTTGCACAGCTTATTTTTTTGACCATTAAAAAAAAAATTAAGGGGTAGCGTAAAAAAAAAGACATTCGATTTTTGAGGGCCACCCTAGTGTTACATTAAACATACACAATTTTAATTACTGTTATTATTGTTGCTATTTGGTTTTTTTTATACTGCTATCTTTTTTAAAAGAAGTATAAATATGATAATTTATTTTAGAGAATATCAAGCATTTTAACAGTGTGTATGTTAAAATAATTTTAAATGTCATGTTAAAACAACTATTATATTACATAAATATATAATATACTATATATTATCAGATTTTGTATGACAAATCTTACATTGATATCAATTAATATCAATTTAATAATTTTAATGCATCAAATGAGATTTTCAAATTATATTTAGTAATAATAAAATTTAAGATACAAAACTAAATATATTTATAGCAAAGTTTTCAAAACATAATACTATTTACAATACTTTAAATAACTATTTCTATAATTTTTTAGGTACTAATATCATATCTAAGTGATATTTTTATTATCATTTATATATTAATCTTCGTAAATAATTTTCTTTTTTCAGATGTTTTTGATATTCTGTAAAGTTTTGGCATTATTTCTTCTCAATTCATCAAAGCTCGTTTTATAAAAGATATCTTAAACGTAGTATATAACTATATTTTCCTTCATTTTCGTGGTATTTTTTACACAGTGGCTTAAGTATTTTTACATTGAACTTAATATTTAAAATCTAAATACTCATATATCATTAATAACGTACTCATAAAATGTAATATCAAAATTATGTCACACTACAAAATTGAAGCTACTCTATATTCACGTTAATCACATAAAAACACATATGTACTTCAATGACTGTAAAAAGAACCATTGTTTCAAGTAGATTAGCAGATAAATCAAAATAAACTTATTTTTAAGTAAAATGAATATTATTATTAGTAAAATTTATTAAGCTATATTGATAATGCATTTACAATTTTATTAATTTAATCGAAAGAAAATTAAAAAACCTGAAACATACATCGTCAATCAAATCGACCATTCTATAAAAAATATTTGATTCAAAATATTATGTTTTAAATGTATATTGGTTTTACATCGTTTTCGAAATATGTAAAAACCTAATTTGCAAGTATAATTTTGAGACTTTTTAATTAAATATTTATTTCATTTAAAATAAATTTTTTTTTTAATTGTGATAAACAGAGAGAATGACAATTTTTTAGCCCCTCTAATTAAAATTCTAGCCCACGTATCTAATATTTTGTTGTTGAAGATTATAGAGTTCACATTTCAAAACTCTTAAAAACTCCTACAAAGCAAAAACCACTACGGTTTATGATCTTTGTATACCAGATAAAAAACAAAGTGGAATCAGATATACACTAAAAAAGATATTTTTTTAACCTTTTTGTTAATATATATCAATTAACTACGATAACTGAAAAATTGTAATTTTTATTAATAAATATTGTGATTTTTTTTACGTAACCCATTACTATAAGAAAACGGTACTTTTATAATGGTTCATAAATTTTAAGAATTACAGAAAAATAATTGAAATAGCATTAAATTATCTGTGTTAATACAATATTATCAAAAAATTTCATCGTTTAAAGAGCTAGAAATATATATTGCATTATTAAACTCTATGGCGACTCATCATCATTGAAAATCTCAATCGTATCTCTTCAAATTATTAGGCGACAGAATATGTAACGTAAAAACGATAAAATTCATTGATTTTTTGTTAATATTATGATAAGTGAAAAATATTTGTTTAATTAAGAATTGTGTTCTTATTATCAAGTGTGTAAACTAAATTTTATTATTTATTCTATTCTTAATTTGTTGTAATATTTTAATAATTAACATTTAATAGTATAATATTCCAAATTAATTCAATTTAATCTTTTTTACGTTTCAGATTGTTTTTTAGTGAAAGTCGTTCAGACATCTTGCTCTTCAAGAGTATTACGAGTATTCAAGAGTATATACGTGGGTAAATTTTTAATATTATTAATAGATTCTCTTTTGCATTTTAAGTTGATTTATGGCGTTGAATTATTTCATAAGCCATTTTTTCTAATTTTTAAATATTTCAAATTAACGTTTTTTTTCATATAATTTGTCAAAAGTTACAAAATATTTTTTTTTAAACATACAATTTATGTATTTATGATAGAGGTGGCTAAGAACTACTTCAATGGGAAACCCTTCGTACCCTAGTTTGTAGCGGTTTTTATAAACAATTGCTTTTTGAGAGAACGTTAAATATGCGTAAATGTTTTATAATTTTATTACTCTAAAATAAGTAATTTATTTTATTCTGTGCCATGTTATAGTTCAAGAATTTAACTACACAATATGACACACAATTATTTTTCTGGGTTACAACTAATTAATAATGAAACACCAATATAATTTTTTTTAAAAGTAAGAAAATATTTTATTTTAGCTATAATTTAATTATTAATTTTAGCTCAGTATATGAAACACATAATAAAAATACTAATATCATATATTTTTACTATAAAATAATATAAAATATAATATAAAAATACTAAATTCATAATATAATAATATTTCGAAACAATTATTAATATAAAACGTTTATTTTAATTTAAAAAATATCTTTAGATTCTTAACTATGGAAAGAATTTTTTTTAAAATGGATTATTAATATTTGAAATAATGTTTATAATAATAAAACACGTAAGAATTCATTTGATAATATTTCCACTTAACAATATTATGTTTTCACATTTTATTCAAAGTAATTGTTTAAATATGTTGAAGGAATAATGTTATGTTTCTGTAAAATAATTAAACAAATTTTCACATAAAAAAAATAAGTCTTAAATTGTAAATGAATGACATATTATTACCATGTAAATGAAATAGCCGCATGAGAAATCTTAGTTCGTATGATATTTTTGATTAAAATTTATAACCTATAGACTCATTTTAAGTAGATTCCATAGTTTGTTTTACAAATTGTCACTTTGGAAATGGAATATTTACAATAAAATCATCGTCCCTTTGAATAACATTATTTTAAAAAAATATGACATTAAATAGATATATAAATGTGCACACAAAGTTTGAAGAAAATTTAAATTTAAAAAACTAGCATAGATCTATCAAACATTTAATATATTTTTTTAATAGAATTATTTTTAATGACAAAAAATCTCTATTTTATTATGCAAAGTTACTGCTTTATTGTTTTCTTCAAACTTTTGTATAATTATATTATATCCAGTTTACGAACATATTTAACTGATTAATTTGTTCAGTTTTATACCAATCTGGTATTGATGACTCATCTGAATAATCATACGAAATATCAATGCTAAATTGTGAACTTTCATCACTGTCATAGTTAAGTTCGTCATTGCTTCAAGAAAATAAAAAAAATATAAAATTAAAAAAAAAAATTTTACTGAATTTTCGATAAAAAAAATCACTACTCTTTTTATATAAATATTGTTATATCAATGTGACTTATTAATAATTTTAAAAATATTTTACGTATAATATATTTTAATAATTTTATTTAGAATAATATACTAAATGAAAAAGATGAAATTTTATTAAAAAAAAAATTAGGAAAAATACTTAGTTTAAAATATTCAAATATATAAAAATTTCATTAAAATCAAAATTACATATACACATGAAATAGTTTAATACTTACTAATAATTATTCTTTATATCATTATTAATGCTCGGTGCCATAAACATTGATAAATATCTATTATTAGTAGTATTTTCAGGACCATGGATATCAGTTTTTGGAATGCTATTTGTGTTAGCTACACTTTCTGTAGAACACAATGATGTCGATGATACATAATTCATATTTTCAAAATCAACATAAGCATTATCGTCTGTATACTGATTATTAGATAATAATGCTGCTAACTCAATTAAACTAAAGATAATAAAATAATGACTAAAAATATATGGAATTATTTAATATCACAGAAATAATTTGGAATTACGAGGTATAATTGTAAAATAAACATCTGTTTGTTCGTGAATACGATTCCAATGATTCATCATTACTTTGGTTCCTGAATGTATTTCCAAAGAAATTTTTATTCCTATTTTCAAATGATAAATTTGGAAATGGAATGTTTGCAACAAATACTAAGTCACTACGAACAAAGTATTATTAAATTTATGATCAATTAAAATTAGCAAGAAAATTAAACATTTGTTCATAAAGTACAGAATTTTTCTGTGCCGATTACTTTTATGTTTAATAAATTTTATAATTCGTAAATTATACTAATAAAAAAATTTTGTAGACTTAATAACCTGTCATTCGATGGTCCTTGGTCAGTTTCATACCAGTCAGGTATTGATGAACAATTTGGACGGTCGTAAGAGATATCGTCATACGAAACTGAATTTTCAACATAATTTATGTTATCTCTACAAAAATATTTTAAATTCGTTTGCTTATATTTATTAATATTTAATACGTTTTAATAATGTTGAATTTTTGTTGAAAGTAATATGCAAATAAAACTTTTTTAATATAAAACTCTTGGTTATTAATAAATAATAAATTATCAGTAAAATGAATTGATTTGTAAAAATCGTTTATAACCTATATATTTATTTATAAGAAATAAAAATTAATTATTTCTTGACAAAATAAATGGATATTCCATTCATTTAAAATAATGTTTACACAAACATACTCAGTAGCTTTTGAAATTCCTTTAATATCGTCACAATTAATTAATGATGATAAAATATTATTGCATTCTTCATTGAGAGTTTTATTTAGTTTTTCATCATCATGAATATCAACCGTGGCGTTTGAATTTTCAACATCTTCATTTAACCTTATAACACAATTGTACCGTAAATTATTCTTCACCAAATATAATTAAATAATACCTGCTGTGTGTTTTTTTGTTTAAAATATGATAAGTAAAATCAATCATATCTTAAAGCGTCTTGTGTATTTGATAATGAGTTCAAAAATGTATGTATTTATACATAAAAATTAGAAATAAATCAATTCTGTCACATACAAATATAATATATTTATATTATAAAAACCTTAGAATTAAATCAAAATTTTCGTATGTTTTTTATACATTTTAATGAGACTTTTATGCAATCTATAGGTTTTTAATTTAATAATTAAGGCAAGACAATTCCAAACAATTATTTAGTGCAAAAAGATTTATAAATTTTAGATAGATTATTCTTTAGAATATTGAATAATTTGAGTTATTAATTACACACATACTTTGATGCAACTTTATATTTTATTATCTTTTTCTAGTTCTTTTGGCTTAATGAGATCAAATTTTAAGAAAGGATTTTTTTTTATGTTTGTAAAAAAATTACATTTTCAAAATTAAAATTAATGATGAAATACAATTGTTTTAATCAGAATTATTTTACATCATATTAATATTATATGACAACATAGTTTTTCCTGGTGGGACAGAAAATTAAATCAAATAACACAAATTAAAATAAGTTATAACACTACATAATTAAGAGCTTTTTGGAAAAAATATTTGTTCTCATTAATTTTAAATTGGTCGCGCGACAACTCTGGATGATTTTATAGGGATTAACCCAAACACATGATAGCTCATTGATTAATACTCATTAAATCTAACTACAAATAAGTGTTGTTACCGTTTGAGTTTTTTAAACTGAACTTCTTCGTGATCTTCATTGTCCAAAGTACGTTTCAATGAAATACGATTATTGATGTCCATTATATTAAAAAGTCGTAATTAAATTTGTTTAATATATATCAGAAAAAATAACTTTTAGATTTGATTTATGAAATGATTATTTAAAATGTCCCAAAATAAAACTATGTTGTTGTTTAGAAAATTTTAACGATATTTTTTTAGCCAATAAGACTTTTTACTCTTCACCCAGTCAATTAAATAGTAACAAAAATATAATAATATTTTAGAAGTTAATGAAATATATATACTTTTATAATGTTAAAAAATTCAAAAGTTCTATTGTATTACACATAGTATAAATAATTTTTTATGTACTATGATCGTCATCACTATGTCCCCAGGTTTTAATNTGCCTTATATAACTCAACTCAATTCATTTTAGTAAAAAGTAATTGAAAAAGATGTATGAAGAATAATGTACCTAAATAGCAATATAAATTGTATTATAGAAGTAGTTTTCCTGTCTATAAGTGAAACGTATTAACATATAAAAAATAGTATAAACATATTTTTTAATATTAAGATACCTAGCAGTTAAACTTTATATTTTTTCATTATTTCTAAAATTGTCCATTTTCGATAGTTCATCAATCAAAAATTTTCGAGAACTTGTAGGGAAGATAGCACGTTGACAGTATACTCACGTTGACCGGAAGTATGAACGTATGCAAACCTTTCCGGTTTCATGGGCAATTTATCTTCGCCCCTTCTCTTGCCGGATCTTTGTAACATATTTGATTAATCCCTTTGAAGTAACCAATATAGTTTTTTATTGTAGATATTTTCCACCCAAAAATTTTTTTCAAAAAGTTAAAACATTAAATTTTTAATTTTAATGATTCTTACTCTTGTAATTTATAATTAAAGTGATTTTCGCTTGCGAACAGAGTATTTATTTTTTGGGTAAAGTACAATTTCACACTAATAAGACTTTGTTTTTTGAAGTTAAAATCACATTTTAAAGTTCAAGAAGATGTTTTTGTTGCTATTAAACCTCACAGTATTTAATGGCAGAATAATGTCGCTCATGGGAAAATAATAATATCGAATATGACAAAGTAGTGGTTTCATAATAAACGACTGTATATAAAGGCTGTTTTGGATACGCTACGCTATGCGCTAAAATAACATTGAGTTTCAATCACTTTGCAGTAAGTTCGTTTGCATGGGAACCAAATATTATGCACATCTAGAAAATTACTTTGAAATGAAAATATACGAAAGTACCATGTCTTGGATGATATTATAATAATCTTTTGAAGGTGTCGCGTTGCACAGTAAAAGCGATCGACTAAATTGAGTTTGTCGGTTTTATTGGTTTTAAAAACATATTAGAGGCGTGTTGAAATTCTCTAGCTAAATATTGTTGACGTAAATTGAATACGACATACATAAACACGTGCATATGGTTAAAAGATTGTGATATCTTCATGACACATTAGTCTCTTGTAAAACAATATTGTTGTCCTTTACGGGCAAAATACGCACATGCATGTGTGTAATTCACGCTTCTTGTTCACATTATCTTTACCTTCTCTTCTTTTAATAGTATCATTACGCATAATTACTCTTATACACGCTACAACGTTGTTCAACCCTTTTCACGCTCTCAACCCCTACTCTAATGCCACTATACGTTTTCGTTAAACTTTTCCTCTCGTCTATCTAGTTTTACATTGGTACATGCGGATTTAATAAATCCAAAGACTAATATACATACGATCGGTCCTATAATTTCTACCCATAAATTCCCACTCAAAACCGTGTATATAACGACACTTCAACGGCTGCAACATCGTTAATGGGCGCAAGTTTCAGTAAATAAATCCAGAGGCAGCAAATAATTGCTGCCTGTATTCCAAAGATGCATACTGATGAGTATAACGATTGTCTTCTTGGCTAAAACTTGAGTTAGTGAATTATAGCTATTAAGTATTTGAATTTATTTTAAAGTCGAGCCATAATGAATAACACAAGTCTTATTAATTATTTAAACGATGATAGTCTCAATTATTTAAAAATCAATAAAAATATCAACGTTAGAATAATCGATTCATCAAAAATGACAACCACTATCTTATTTTAATGGTTACCTAAATAATCTCGTCAATTAATGTTTAAATGGTATTTTTTATTTTTTGAACCAGAAAAGTAGCATGTTTGAATAAAACTACTTGTAAACAACAGTGACGAACTTCATTCGTTAGAATACAACATGTATTTTTTGTTTTTCTTTTATTTTAGACTATAATAAAACATTGTCACGTCGTATTAAAAGACTTCAATAAACGTTGTCAGGTACAAATTAAACAAATTCGGAGCACAAGAAATGAATACTGTCCTCGTCATCGTTTAGTCACATTTGTAATACAATACCGTTCAACTAACCGGCATGACTATACCAATACACGAACATGCAAGTGAAGGGTAAATGCCCCAGAGCCAAAACCAAATCATTTCTTCGTTTTTAGCGAACAGAAGAAGATTTCGCTGGTCGTATTATTTCCTTCGTTTAGGAAACAAGGTGAGTTCCCCCGGGAACGGTCCTATAGAACAGAGTAATATTTTATAACGATGTATTGATGGCCGAGGGTCGTTTGTCGTCCGCTACTTATCCTTATGCCAGTGTGTAAACACGCAAAAAATATTGGACTTATCTCTTCTGTATAATATTTGTATGTATGTGAGAGTTGTTTTGTAATATTTGTATGGAATTCCTGAGGGATGGTTGTTTTTTATCCTGCTGCCCCCACACCAACTCGCATCCTTCTATGGTCATCTGCCCTGAGACATGATTCACTAAGTCTTCCAAAAAAAATGGACAGAGATTTATTTCAGACATATTAAAGTGTCGTTTGAAGTGGTTTTGATAGTAAAGCTGTATTCTTTCGAACAATCACTAAATCTAAACAATGTTCAATCATGTCAGGTCAAACACAATACGTTATTATAATATTTATGTTTCAAGCCTGAAGGGATATCCCTTATTTTGAATATGAATAGTAGTAAAAATGGTTGGAAAACAAGGATTGAAAATAATGCATTGTAAGTAGTTTTACAATTTACTATATAATGTTTTAAATATGATTTAATAAAGTTAATTATTATCACTCG